CAAATCAGTTTGATACAAATAATAACTTAAATGGTGCAAAAGTCTTTTCTTAATACAGTGTGAATGGAAATCTGACAGGACACTCTGTGTTTTAATAGTTAATATAATATTGATAAGGAGGGAATTAATGGTTTTATTTGGCTGGATGTAAGTTCAGCTCCAGGCACAGTTTTTGTAATTTAGCCAAGTTATTAGATAGCCAATGCAAATTAAGATCACGTACGATTCAATGCCTGGAAGGGGCATGGGATGCCGTTCATTTGGCCTTTTTCCTTTAGAGCAGCACTGGTTTCAGATTGAACGCTGTTGATTCCAATAACTATAAAATTGACGTCACCCAGAGGGTAAATGTCCAGCGCAATATATTCACACTTCTTTTGCTACAACAGCAGCAGCCACTTGATGCATAGATGGACAGTCAAAACATAAATCAACAGCCTAACTCCTTTTAAATTTACTATTAATATGAAATAGATGGTACTCATGTATTAGTTATGTGAGATTTCCCTTTGTACAATTATCTGAGCCAGTGGCGTGTGGATGAAAACACTGATAGAAGACAATGAATCGCTGCACTGAGAGTGCTCTGAACGAGGGCCTTGTTCCTTCATGATGAAAAAGGAAAACAAATGAGAGTAGATTAAGACTTCTACCTCCCCTCGTCTCCTAATAACATGCCTCATGCGTGTCATGCATGTTTCTACTTGATTATTTTAATTTGCTGCTGTTTATTTTGCTTTCATGCTTTAACAGTGATACAGTTTCAGTTGAATTACCTCAGTTTATGAGACTCTCACAGACACAGTGCTAATAAAGACGGAAGCAAATGCCTGCATAGAAACATCCCTCATGTGCAGAGGCGGAGAGAAAAACTTATTCTTAGCTATAGGATACAACAATTACTTTCTGTTTCACCATTCTTGCAACCTCATGATTTATTCACTTTATAGTGATTATGCTTTTCCGATGTTATAAAATGGTCCAGATAATTGATGCATTAAAGCACTCCAGATTCAGGTTTGTCAAGATGAAGTTAATTATTTGTGAGAGCAAATAAATGTCATGGCTAAAGTGTATTTAAAAGCAAACACTGCAGTGGTTTGTTTTTTTTTCGCACTTATTCCAGTTCCAGGGAAACTGTTTATTCCTGCTGTGCAAAAAACCTTGTCTTATAGGTTCAAAAGACTCGCTGTGCAGCCAAGGCAACCAAGGAGAGCTCCATACTACGGCAGCACAGGCAGGTGTGGAGCAGAGAGTGCCCCAGGCTGCAAAAGGCTGAGTAAGAGCCCCCTATTACTCCCTGTCATTATCTGCTGCAGCTTTCTGAATCTGCTATTACACCACGCAACCATTCCACTTAAGCCCCATTGAGCCCAGACAGGAACCTGGATGGAAAAAAAAGGGTGTAAAGAGGGGCAGGGGGGTAAGTAAGCCCAATGAGAAAAATGAATCAGGGAGAAAACAAGAAGAGAAGGAAGATTTAAGCTGATTTTCTTGCAGTGATGATATTGAGTTAAAGGGTGAGAAACAGAGAGAAGTAGGGGGGTTAGAGCAGTGTGGGGACAGAGGGGTATACTGAATGGAGGAACACTCTCGCTCTGCGTGCTCAGGCAGAAGTGTAGGAACTGGGGCCCCAGCGGTGTCATGCCTTGTGAAGTGAGAAGGGCAGCACTAGCTCTGGGGTGCAGCTTGTTTGGCTGCATAATGACTGTGTCTGAGCCACCCAAGGTTAATGATGTACACAAGTGTGAGCCTCAGTAATGAGCCTAGTCATAAAGATGTGCCACCGCTTGCAACTCTCTATACATATATCTGGTTAAATTACCTTCGGATTCAAAAGCCAACTTGTCAAAAGGGAAAACAGGCATGTATATCACTATGGTTACTCGTCTTCCTTTATTCACAATCATGTCGACCCCTGTACCAGTTAGTAAGAAGAAAACAATTACTGTAATACCTGCTGTAGGCTTGTTAGTATGATACATTATGTCCCACCCGTCTGAGATAGTGTGTGTGCAATACATGGAAGGATAGACCTGGTCTCCATCCCACACCCCTGCCTCCAATCTAAAAATCTATCAGTAGTGTGCAGTGGCGGAAAGTACATTTATTCAAAGGACCATGTGTGTAGGATTTAGTGGCATTTGGTGGTGAAGTTAACTCCCTCACTTCACCCTCTCCTTCCAAGCACAGAGGAGAAACTATGGTGGCTGCGAAATGCAGGAAAAACATAAACAGCCCTGTCTAGAGTCTTTGGTTGTTCAGTTCTGTTTATGTTAATTGTTAGCGAGATTAATATATATATTTAACAAGGCTCTATCTCTCTCTCTCTCACGAAACAGGGAGAGGGCTGAGAACGACATCCATGACTTTTTAGAGCAGATCAGGCCAAATGGTGGAACAGACACTGCCATCTTCACACTCACAGATTATGGTAAACTCTCAGATTATGGTTAAATGGTATTAGTAACTGTAACTCTTTCGGTCTACTAATATGTGTCCTTGTATGTCTATGTTGGGGTTTAGGGCTGGACCTAAAGAGGGAGCGTGAGGCATTCAGGGTAGCCACTGTGGAGCCTGTTCATCAGCTCAAGGATGACCTGTGCTTCAGACTGGGTGAACTAAAACATCAGCACCTCACTGCCCCCCGATCACACTGGGAACAAGTAATACAACAGGTATCTGTGTGCTATGAAATAAAGACCTGTCTGAATGTCAACAGTTATGACCACAGTTAGCTTTAACAGAGCTGAATTTGTAGAAAGCTAGCAGAATGGCAAGATGTTTAAATCTATCTCAGAAAAATAAATTGATATAGTCTTTTACTGCGCCTGGTTCAAAAATAAAATGGTTCAGCTTTTGAGAATCCTTGCTCTTACAACTTATGTACTGGGCTGTTAGTGAACCATTGGGAGTATTTTATCCTGTCAGTATACTCAAAGCCTTCAACAATGAATCTTGGCTGTCTGCACTCTCTGCAGGTACCAAACCCAGTCAGTTTGTCCTGCACATCCAACAAAAGTTTAAACTCTCCTGCTTGTTCACACAATGATCTCAGCTTGCACACAGCGTCGCATTCACTGTCCATGAATCTCTTGTTTGTTAGATATCCACAGCCCCTAAGTCACCAATTCTGCCTTTGACTCTCAGAGGCTTTTTGGAAGCTCTAGAGATGAATGGCGAGATTAAGGAGTAAGCAGGGGTCTTTAAAGACAGACCATACCCGGAATGAACTGTCTGCCAGCCATTTTGTCTCCTCTGTGTGGCCCACTCATGCTTGTTTCTTTCCCATGACCCCCTCTACTCTTGCTGGCCCACAGCCCCTAACCACCTGATTGCATGGGCACAATAGGACAACCTCCCCCTTTTTGTCTTTTTGTTTTTTTCATAACTTTTGTCAGTTTGTCCTTTTTTCACCACATTACTTCACTCTGTGACTCACAACAAATTCAAAGAGAGATCCTTTTTGGGTGCTATGTACTAACACATAGTATAAGAGATCATTTTCAGAAACAATGACCTATACACCATTCATCCACCCATCCATCCATCAAATGTTGCTTATGTGGATAACGGGTGCGATGGCATTGTGGGAATGTCACTTAAGAATTGAAAGAGCCTGTTCCTTTTCTGAAACAGAAACATACCTAATTATTTGATAAGCCTTATCTCAATTTCTAATCAGCTGTTTTCCTTATGCTATCTAACATCTCAGAAAATAAGCAGTTACTGATTACTTGCTATCACTGAATCACTCTAGTGATAAATGTTTTTGAATCTAGGCGTCTGAGAGAAGAGGGGGAGCCTGAGTTCAACCATTACTGTTGATATGAGCAGACATTACTAGAAGGAAGAAAGGGTTACAGCCGATAGTCTGCTCTTTGTATCCCTACAGACGGAAATTTGTAGCTGTAATATTTTAGCTGTAAGAAAAATCTTTCTTATGGATATCAGAGGAATTCCTGGACAGTCAGAGCAAGACGTGAAACTCTTATTTCCCAAAACAATATAATACATTTGATAGTAAGGTGGCAATTCATACTTTTCCATTTGATTTCAACCTGTCTGACAGCCATGTTTGTTTTCTAAGCCTGTATTTTATTATATAACTATTGTTTATGGTTTTATCCTTAAATTACCAGATCAACTTTGTTAAAGTCCAGCAAGATGACATAAATGCTAAACTTCATGCAGAGTACCTGGCCTTGGATGAGGAGATCATTGGCCTTAGCCTCGAGGTAAGTTTCTCTCTGCTGGTTTTGTATCTTCCTTCTGTTTCAGCAAGACACCAATTTCCAATCTTTATTATAGTTTAAGAAGTAATCACTACAGTCTATCACTTAAGCAAATGTCTGAATATTTTATTACATATCTCAAAGATGATCATATTGTCCTCCACAGGAATATATTACTAGTACTTCAAATGATCTGGTGAACGTAGAAACCATTCCAGAGGAGGTTTTGGATTCAGACTGCCCTTATCCAGAGCTGAAGGACTCCCTGATCCAGGCCTTCCACTCCCTGTCAGAAAGGTACCAGAAGAGGGTGCAGAGTCTGCAAGAACAGCTGCAAAGAGCTGACAGGTAGGCCTGATGACAACTTAAATTCAGCTTTGAATTGACTAAAACTGTGGTGATTTGTACAGCTAATATGTTATAAGTGTATTAAGGCAAGATCTTCAATATCTTCCTCAGTATTGATAGAAGTAGGCTTTTAATGATTTTCAGCTAGCCGTTTTGATAAATCCATGTATATGTAGAACTCCAATGTATGCTGGCAGATCTAAATGAAAGATTAAAAGCTCAGCAGGACATCAACAGCATATAGAGGCACAGTCACTTCACTCCCAAGAAGCAAGCTGTTGAACATGGCAAGTGTTTCTCACCAGGAGGTTGATTATATCAATGTCTCAAAGTCACATGATGGCTTTAATTCCATATGGTTACTATATAGCACTGTTAGCTCCTATGAGTAGTATGCAATTGATCCTTTATCCCCTGTGGAAATAAAATGGTGTAAAATGAAGGTAGGGGATCATAGTGTCATAATATTATCTATTTGTATATATTTTTTTATTATATTTCCTGTGTTGGATTCTGTTTCAGATTCTGTGGCTGGTGTGCAGATGACCACCAACGCTTCCAGTTCGCTTTGTCTCAGTACACGCATGACATACCCAACCATAGAGCACTCTACATGGACATGCTACAAAGACTCTTCCCTAAGAAAACTAGACAAGAGCTGGTCAGTACTTTGGCAAGATATGTTGAAGAAAAAGAAAACTGTTTTGGTTGATTATTAAGGAAATTAACTAAGTTTGTCAAATGAAGAAATCAAATACATGCAATGTATGTACTGTAAACACACAGGCATGCACACACTGGTCATTCATGGCCTGGAACAATGTACATACAATGTGGTTTACAGTACAAATCCTGATAGTTACTGATACACTTAAATGTTTATTCATTAGCAACAATTTTGATTATCAAATATTTGTACGTTATATTTCAAGCAAAAGGGACAAAAATTAGTTTGACGCTCTCAAATAACTGAAAGATTTCCTGCTTTTGGTTTTCTCATACGATAGTAAACAGAGTATGTTTGAGTATTGAATTGATGCTTAAACAAAAAGATAGAAGAAGACATATTAGACATTACCTTAGACTCTGGAACATTTTTCACTACTTTCTGACATTTTATAGTATTGGGAAGATGAATTGAAAATGAAAATATTTCTTTATCCAGGGACGTCTCCCTGAGAGTAAGGTTCTATTTTTCAGGAGAATCCTGTTCACACTTATACTGTACCATTACGTACAGTATAAGGTATCATTACACCTTGAAGCTGCCTAGTACAACCACAGTCTGATCTGCTGACCACTGAGCAATTGGAGATTATGTGCCTTGCTCAAGAACACAACTGCCCACTGACCTTTTAATGTTTCTCCATGACTGTACTGCACACAATGTACATACCCTAATGGACACACACACACACGGACATACTGTATATTAGTGCACTTACACACACACGCCTATCTAAAAATGTAACTCCCTTCACCAATCTGAAGCATCCCTGCAGTGTGAGTCCCCGGCTCCCTGATCAATGTTGCTCAGTAGCCTGAGCTGAGTGGACAGACACACAGATAAGCCTGGACAATGATCCGCTCAGCACACTGCAGGATGTGCCATGTCACCCACTGTGGACGACTTGCTCACGCCACCGCCCACCATTGCCATGACAACCGCCAGCCCCGCTCTGTTCCCTCACCCGCACCCAGAGACCTGTCCTCATATCAGTTCCAGCTGGGTGCTGCATTTAGAGCTGTGATCGTTCAGCCTTGGGGGGGGTGGGGAGTGTGAGAGGGAGTGGGAGAGATGTGTTCCTCAACAATTTTTCTCCACACTTTTCACCTGCTCAGAAACAGACCAAGAATTGATGTAGTGCTGACTCCACCTAATTCAGCTATTAGTCATAATCAAGCTGCCTTGCATGCAGTAGATAATCAGTGTGAACTACAAATTGAGTTGCTGAAACCTCACTGATTAAGTGCATAAATGCTATTCTGATATCAGTGTATAAAATCAAGATTTTATAGACTTTTTTTGTGGCATTTTCTATATCTGAAATCTAAATTAAGTGAACAAGTATGGCATTGATTGGTATCCAGCAAGCTCAAAGGATGGTCCCCTAGTTGAAGCGAGCTCTGCACCTGTGAAGTTTTGGCTTCATTAGAAATAAAGTGGGGAAAAAAAGAAGCCCAACTGTTTGGCCGCAGTCTGCTATGGGTAGATATTTCCCTTATATTTGTTGTGTGAAAAAGTAACTCCCATTGCTGTTGCAGACATATGGTTCGATTGGAAATTCTATAGTCAGTACTTTAATTACAGAATCGTCTCTATGGATTTTGTTGGCTGTTCCTGGTTGAGCCTTAATATTTTGCTCACCTGCCTTTTTAGTTCCATCTGTGACCAATCATTTCACAATGATTGCATAATTTTCTGTTGGTTTTGTCAGTCTTTAATTTAAATTCTAATGCAAGATATCTTTTATAACTAGATAGCAGGTGTGGCATATTACCACAGTTAAAGGGTTTGTGCAGTGTAACAATGATAAATCAGCTCTCTTCAGTTGCTCGCAGTATGCACTGTTTTGACATTTTTTCCCATTTTGGGATCTTTGCGAAGAATTATTTGAGAGAGAACCTTTTTTTAAAAGAATCTTCACACCATGCTTCGTCAAAATATTTCTACTTGTTTGTCATTTCAGTTTCTCCATTTGATTTTGAAGAGAAATATTCCGAAGTAAGTAGAGCAGAAGGAGAAGGTTTAGGGAATTACATTGGTGACATTTACTCACTTTACCAAAATATTTGGTCAAAATAATTTATAACAGTTTCTCTCACCATGACCTGCAATTACAACCCAATTACATATCACTGTCTCAGCAAAGTGCCACTTTATGCTGTATGTACAGTAGAAGTATGTGGACATTTTTTCTGTCTTCCTTTTGCTGACTTAAAGTAGAACCAGTCTCTCAGTTTCACCACCATCAGATGGTGATACTCCAGCTAGCTTAGAGTGGACATCTCCCTCTGCTGGATGGGGCTCTTTATTGTCTATTATGACTTTGATGTTCTCTCATAACAAGTGGGAGGCTAACAGAGTACCAGCAGAATTTCATAGTAATACCCTCATAATGTGCCATGGAAATAGTGGAAACACTTCATATCTCTTACCTATTCTGGCTATATCTGGGAGGCCATTTTTATTTTCTCTTTTGTATGGCTCAATCCTGGTGGAGACAGAGCTCCGCAGAGGGAATGTGGATGCAGCAGTTAAACTAAGTGTCGTGCCACTTTAAGTGTGCACTGCAGAGACAGTGCGGTGGATGCTTCCACATACATGCTGTATGTAATGTGTTGCCGGTGAAACATTGCAAGCATGTATGCACACGCATACTGTGTTTCTGCTCTGACAACACACAAAGGCAAGGGTAGTAAAGCAGAGGACAAGAGAAAGTGAAGAACAAAGGGTGGATCTTCCTCAAGTTCTAAAGTTGTGCATTAATAAACAGGATTTGCTTGACTGCCTCTGGCACTTCTGTTCCGTTGGCAGGTCTGTCAGCTCACTCATTTTCAATAAAACCAGTCAGCCGTCTAATGCCATCCCACCGTCAGTTAGCCGCTATTAGCCCATAGATGAATATCATTCCCTCTGTTCCAGTGAAGCAGCCAAGTGATGCAGCCTCTGTGAGCGCTGACACAATGATGAATAGCTACAGGCATCCCTCACACAGAAAGGAACTGTTTTCCTTCAGGACATTTCACAGCCAGGAGACAGGGACCATTTTATACACCAGCGGAGTTAGATCTGACACAGAGTTTTCCCTATGGTCCTGCTGCCATTATTAAAGATAGTATATCATATAGAGATGTTTTGGGATGTCTTTTTGTCATCAATTTGGCACAACACTGTGTATAATACATCAATGCACATTGTGTTCTTCATATTCATATTGTTTTTTTTTTCAGTTCTTATAAGGATAACTAATACACCAATTAAGACACTGAGTAATGCCTTTGTGTCACCCCATACCATGTGCAAACAATGCCTTCTCCATACTTATTGTTCTTCCAGATGGAGCATGAACGCGCGTGGGACTGGCAGCGCTTCACCCAGACACAGCTGAGAGTGGTGACCCAGCAGTGGCAGCGGGACCAGGAAGAATTGCTGGCCCGAGCCCTGGTCACCCTGCAGGAGGCGAGGCATGCCCACCAGGAGGAGCTGGAGCTCCACAGAGGCCGCCAGCACCAGCAGGACATCTGCTCACATCTCAGGGAGGAGGTCAGTGTCTGGTATACCTTCACAGCAGGAGCTGTCTCGTGTCAGGATCAGTTCCAACTTTATGAGACGTCACTTTTTATGTTAGCAATTATGCAACAGTGCTGTGCCTCCAGCCCATTTTTAATCCCTGCAGAAAATGGATCTATAACTTTAATATTGTACTCTTTCATTGCTCTTCAGCTTACCCAGTATGAGCTTTCTGTGGTCTACTTCTCTATCATTCTTATTTATAAAGCACACTCACTCTCATCTACTGGTAGAGTGAACATAATTTAGCTCATTTCCAGTAATACTTAGCATGATAAGCTTTTTTCTGTATCCTCCTCTAACTATGTAGATGTGATAGCTGTTGTGAGGGACCAGACAGGCAGCGGTGTCTGACTTGCCTTCTTGTGTACAGTATATCTGCTGACGAGGCTGCATATTACGCCAGGCTGCCTGACAGCATCTCTCGCTTTAGCTGCCACTTGGGATGGGCCGTGAATGCAAACAAGCTAATAAGGATGGTCTTGCAAACATGATGTTGCTGTCTCTGAGGGGTGCTAGTTCACATTCACACAACAAACAAGTTACTCATGTGAACAAATCCATGTGTTGTTGATGCAGTGCTGTACAAATTGAATTTGCTTTGCCTGCCAGTTAAAGAAAAAAAAAATGCTGCTTATGTCCTGTGGCTGATTAGATAACAAGACGCTCTGATGTACTGGGATAGGGTTGGTGTGGGCCATCTCCACTGAGTCTAGTTTTGTCAAAAAACAAAACATATCACTAAACAAGGGGAAACGTGCTGGTTTCATTTTTTTAACTGTTGCTTTGGAGAACAAGATCCTTTGATTTGATAGAAGAAAGGAATTTGAAAATGCACATATTCTACTGTATGTGAAGAATATTCAGGGGAGGCCGAGCCGGGTATATTGTGAACTAACAAACCAACAAGCCTTCTGCTGGGATCTTTTCTCAGGTCTCAATGTTAGGACTGTGGAAACGCAACAATATATAACAATCTCTCTCTTTGTGGGCCACTCCTTGTACCACTTCCCATGTGCAATAGTTAATTTTCCACATCTGTGTCACACTTAAATGTTCAATTGTGGTTTGGATAAACATGTCTCTGCAAAGATAGGAGAGCCAGGTGCAATATATCCCATTCCAGGCATTGTCTCAGCCCATGGGCCAGATTCTTTGATTTTAGTGTTATCATTTAATTCTCTAGCAAGCTTATAAAATTGTGCCATAAAAACTGGCTCTTTATCTCTTTTTTCACAAGCTGCACCTAACTGTGCAAACTTATAAACATAAACACTTTAGATTGAACCTACAGCACTCTGATTTACTGCAGTATACTACATGCCTGACACCAAAATATCTCTCTCTAAATCTAAAACAAAGATTGGACAGTTTTGGAAGAGTTTTACAATTGATTATTTTTTCATGGAGTTTAATATGAATTCTTCCTGCCTCATTTTGAAGGAGAAATGTACCGTACTCAAGGAGTACAATCTTAGGTGGCATTACTCTACTAAACATACATGGGTGGCTGTGTTGCCTTGCTTTGGAATGTATATATGTTAAACTTGTTGATGTAAAATAAACATCAGAGGTTTTTATTTTACTGAAAGAGAACAATTTGGTCTTAAAAAATAATATTAATATAGCCTATGATTTCCATATTGGCGTAGGTATCCGTGAAAAACATCAACTCCAGTGTATTTGCCACAGTGAAAGTCTAATTTAATCTGTTTTTCTCTGTGTTTGTTTTAACTCCTGGGAGTCATATACTCCAACAGTCAACAGCTTGCAGATTTTGACATAATACATGACAGTACTTGTGTTTTTCTCCTGAGTTGCTTTTATTATACAGCTATTACCTCATTTAATTGGACTCTTTTTCTCTTTATCCTTCACTGTGTTCTTTCATTTACTACTGGTGTACTGTAAGTGAAGAAGCAAATTCAAGGTCATTAATGAATTCCCATTCATTTCTGTCAGAATGGAGCTTAAGATACAACTACAATGCCTGGCGTAATAGAGTTTTGTTAAGAAAAAAGCCATCACAGATTTTTAAAATGATGAAATGTGCTGTATATTCAAGACAGTATCTGCAAACTCCCTTTTAATGTATTTTTGAAAACTACAGGGGCCTTTGACTTTATTTGTGAACCTGCAGTAGAACATAGACTATGGCAAACTCATTGGGTTTTGTTTTTATAGGTCTCTGAGGCAATAAGAAATATAAAATCACAGCCATTTTCATTCCCAATGGCCTTTCCACACTACGTTTTTTGTTTATGCAGTGCATGTGCACATATTTGCGTTTGTGTGGAGGCTCAGATGGACGCCTGTTTGCATCCAATCTTTCTTTCCACTGCCTTTATCATCCCAGCACAGCGACACAGCGGCGAAACAAGATGGATTCTCCTCCCATTGCATCTTTAACGCTTTGTTTTCTGCAGCTGCTCCCTCTGACCCAAGCAACTCTCCTGACTCTGCTGTGAGTCACTCACCCCTCTTGAGATCAACTCCATTTCTACACTCTAAATTTTATTCCTGCTTTATTATGTAGGCTGTATAGTGTAATATGATCTAGTTGAAGACTTGCACAATGCAGCTAGCGGGCTACCTGTAGGCTATGAAAATGTATATTTTATGGAGGACTCCTGGTCAACATTGTGATCCATAATTTAAGAGGAATTAATTTTCAGTTGTGTAACTTTGCTTATCTGTGTAGTGAGTTGTACATATAATGGTACAGGCTACGGGTACTTGTACCCCAGGGGGAACTTGTGCAGTTGCCAGGGGTTATGTGGAAAGCTCAACTAATTAAACTCAACTCAACAAAAAAAATATGTGATTTGATTAAAAAATATTTTTATAACATATCTGTGTTAAGGATAGGATTGGTGTGATGTTGGTGCTAATAGGCTGCCTAGCTGAGTCAGTTACTCAGATACCGTTAATTATATACTGTGAATGGTTGTAACACATTAATTCCACTTGTTGCAACTGAGAGTTTGTGAAAACATCTTAGCAAATGAGCAGAGAAGTTGAAATAGTTTTTCTTAAAGTAGTTAATGAGTAAACAGTTGAAATACCTGTTATATAGTTAAATAAAAGTAATGAATAAACCGTTGAAATAAAATAGTTAGTAATGGCTAAACAGTTTAAATAGTTAGTTAAAATAAATAGTTGTGATGTAAATGAACTAATCTCTTATAACAGCTTTTATCAATGTTAACAGCATTTTTAAAATAGATTAAGAAGTTAATGTGTGATTGCCGGCTTAAAGAGTAAGATACTTATGCTATACTGTCTCGCTATGATAATGAAAATAACCACCCTCCCCATCTCATCTTGTCTCTGCCTCCAAGGGTTCAGAAGAGAGCATATTTTGGATGATTTTTGGTCAGTGCCTGTCTGGTCCTTACCTCATTATAGGGAGCACGGCTGTGTGCTGCCAGCTCTCTTCTGAGGGACATGTAGTGGGAAGAAATCCAGGGTAATTGATTTCAGAGTTACCGTGTACCCCTCTGTTTTGGAAAGGGCAGGGCTGTCACACAGACCTCAGCTCTTCTCCCCTCCTCTTGAGAACCACAGATTGGCCATGTAGAGATGACTGGCTGAAATCATGTGTCTGGACACATATGACATTACTGATCACATAGCAGTTTTTCAGCTTTCCAAGGAACTGCAGATGTGATATACAGTATATATACAGTAGTAGTAGGTGTGTATGCGTCAGCCATGGCTTATTTCCTTCCAATTTATCACTGAAAAACAGACTCTTCTTCTAAAATCATCAGCTGTTTGTTCTGCAGTGTTCTGGCTGCTGTAATTAGCTGGCATTGTTCTTGGTGTTACTGTTCATCCCAGCCTTTCATTCTGTCCTTGCTTTTGTTTTGCCTCCCACTTATATCTCCCTCCCAGGCATCTTTGATGAGTGATTGTGTTTTTCACATGAGTAAATAAACCCTGGAGGGATGACAGATTGTTGTAACATGTTCAGGTGGGAAAAGGATGAGCAGGCCAATAGACAAGCGACACAACAATCGTAACAAGGAAGCTTTTTCATAAGACGGGAGGTTTTCTTTCAGCGCAACAGCTAATTTTTTATTTCATGCTCTCCAGAGTACTTTTTAATATAAACAGCGCTGTTACAGATTAATTTATGCCCGGATGATCTGTATGCCCTTCCTGTATTCTCTAGGCGCTGTGTATTAGCAGATCCCCTGTCACTGAGTGTTAGTGACTAAAAAGTACAGCTCTTCATCCCTCTGGTGGCTGAATGGACACAGCAGAGTCTCAGTAGTTGAGACAGTGCGTGGGCCACACAGTGTTTGGGCTGACAACTCTCTGAGGAGTTAATTGCTCATATGTGTATAATTCCTCCACCGCAAAGTGATGTACTTGTTATGGACCTTCAGGAAAATTCTGATTGTGCTAGTTGTGGAAAATACAAATAGTATTCAGCAAGTTTCATTTTTTCTCATCTCTTAATGGACTTTAGTTCTTGTCCCTTTAAAGATTCAGTACATCTCATGTGTCATTAATGTCACTCAGTAGATTGGTCCCACATATGGAGGAGTGGTGCTGTTCCTTTGAATACACCACTCACTCTCTCCAGTTTGCTGCTCCAATTCACAGCACTGGTCGAAGCTTTGCAGTTTTGCACGAGTTCATAGGTAATCTGTTTCCCTCATCTGTTATATATAGAAAGTTTGTCATTAAATGACCTGCAATAGAAAATTTGACGGCTGCTGCAACGCCCCCTGACAGAAGACATCACGATAACTGTACAGTTGTATTAACAAAGGCTTTGAGCAGGCTGCAGTGTACAGATAAAAAGGCCTATCATTCTTTTGTTATTCTGACATCTCTGCAGTCATTTTTGTGCTGCCATGAAAAAGGATGGTGTCCCATTTCCCTTTGAATTCACAGAAAATGAGATTCCAGTGACAAATTACTGTAGACTGTACATAATGAACATTTTATTCTCTTTGTGCTCCCCTAAAAGGCCTTTTCATCTCTGCCTAAACAAGAAAGACATACAAAATGCATTCATCCACTGCGGCTCTTACAGTGTTCACAGTGGATCTAAACTATAAAGATACATTTCAGATTGTTCTGTGACCTTAGATGACTACTGAAACCGAACTTTTAACTTTTTGATTTATGAGACTATGGAAAAAAAAACAAAGACATGTTATTTGTCACATGTTAGTTTGTATGTCCCCAAAAATATGCTTTACAGGCCCACCCATCAGGTTGTTTGCACACCCCATCTCTCAAGGTCCCAAGCATCAAAGATGCAGGTGTCCTATCTGGGCCAGGCTCGTGCTTGATGGATGGTTTAATTATGTGCACTTGTTTTTCTGTAAAAAGCTTATTTAATTTTATTTTCAGAGGGACAGAAGGAGAGAAAGATGGGGAATGATTTGCAAAAAAATCCCCAGCTGGACTTTTAGGTTATAGCTCCAGGAGACCATGAAATATTGATAGTTTAAAATGTATTTAAACCCTTCATATGAACTGTATGGAAAACCTCTTTTATACTCTACCCAATTAGGTATTTTTTAGCAGGCATCTATGCTGAAACTTGAATGTGCTTTTGAGGTTTTGTATAGGTCTGGTATTTTGCTCAAGGAAACACTGAAATAATTCCTTTTTACAATCACAAGATTATATTACACAAGGCAATATTGGAATAAGCGCCAACACCAGTGGGTTCACATTACATATTAAAAACAGCAGGAACTCCATAACAGAAAAGATGGACAGCGCAAGACTACTTTTCTATAGCATATATGTAGCAGCTTGGATATTGACACAGTGCTGGCACCATCATTACTCACTCACTACTCTCTGTCAGTACTCAGGATTGCTCTTCTGGTCATGAAAATTGCATATTGAGCCCAGTTTCAGGAAAATAGAGCCCTAAATTTTCACATGAGAAGAATCCATGTTGTGTCTCTCCAGCTTCAACACTGAAATGCAACTGGATTAGAGACTGGATTGTTTTGAGTCCTCTCTCAAACACGCAGCTGCTGCTTTTTCTCAGGCAGACATCAACTATGATTGACTTGATGATACTGCTGGTGCTAATGTGTGTGAGACCATGTTAATTTGCAGTTCATTCCTTTAGGGATTCCTAAGCTCTCCTCTGATAGATCTGTGAATCTGTGTGCCCGGTCGGAATGCAACACTTTAATACCCGGCACGCCACCGAGAGGCTGCTGCATAACGAACCTGTCACTCACTCCCCAGCAAATGTGTGTGTGTATGTGTGATAAGTTTAGACGTCTGTTTCTAAATGTCTAGCTGGGTGTGTGAGGATTGCTTTCTCTCAAACACATGAACAGAATTTCAGAGGAGAAAAATTTGTCACATTTCTGTCAAGCATTGTATCTTCATCTTTGGTGATTACCATATTTTAAGACAAGTTAGTGCACGCTCTTTGTGTCATAAAAGCCCTTTAAACTCAATTGGATAATGAGAAAAATCCATAGTCACCAAGTTGATGCTATTGAAATCTGATATTTTGGAGCTACATCTTTTGCGTAATACATTTAAAATAAAAGTTAATACTCAGAATCTTTACGGTTTAAAAGTTGGATGGGTATCTAGAGGAAAATGATTTATTCTTGACTGTCTTGGAACTGTGTATAATACCTCATCTGAATTGCTATATAAGGGCAACTCTCCTCACTAGAATGAATTCTGTTTGTAATAGAGCTCAAATACGAGGATTTTCTTTATGATTCAATGATTTGATGGGTCCTGAGGTGATCTAACGCAAAGTGTGAAAGGCATTTTTGACACCTCTTCTAAAGTTCATGCCACACTTTGGAACCATGCCGGTGGAGCTCAGCTGGTTGTCTCCCTGTGAGTGATTCTTTCAAGACAGCTGTTGATGGCCAATAACCTGCTTTTTGTTTCTCCCTGGTGTGTATTTGCATGTGTGTCTTTAGCTGCGGCAGTGGCGGGCCCAGCAGGAGGAGGTGGCGAAGCTGGAGGCAGTTATAGCTGCCAGACAACAAGCGGAGGAAGAGGCAAGGGTAAAGAGGGAGCAGGAGAAGGAGATGGCCATCAGATCACAGCAGAAAGAAAAAGTAAACACGTCCTCAACACACCCATCACAATGAATGTGTCAGTTTGTTCCTGCAACACTTGCTTAAGGTCACCACATCTGCATATGAATGTGTGCAAGCTTGTGTATGATTTTAATTCCTTCCTTATGTGTTACCAGTGAGAAATAGGTTGCATACAACTTCTGTGATCAAAGAAAGTTGACTGAAAATATTATTATCTAAGAGATCTCCATAAATAGGAATATTACAGTGAATATTCTTTCTAGATGATAGATGGTATTTTTTATCCTGTGCTCACACATATGGGTTGTGCATAACTTATTATCTTGTGCATACAAGTGTATTATCTACATGGAAAAAAAAAAGATAATTCACTATAAATTCATATACTTTGTCATGCCGCTAGCCCACTTTAGATGCACACAGGCAGCTCAAAATAGAGAGAACTTGGTCAATCAAAAACACAGGGCTGTCATCAGCAGGAATAATCTGCTGTATATCTTAATGGACAGCAGGCATAGATGGGTTAGGTTTAGATGGATGTTGGTGGTGCTGAGAAAATTGCCTCAAAAGTGAAAAAGAGTCACATTGGCTCAGCTGGATCTCAAGCAATAGGCAACAAATAGCAATGATTTGACAGAAAAGAAAGTGCTTTTCAAAAGCATCAAATGCTATGCGGCACGTCAGCTCACGCTAAAATCTTTTGGTGTGTACGAATGAGTGTATGAATGACTTCTCACAGAACAAGATATGACTGAATGCCTGCAGAAAGAGCACCGGATTGTAGGGTGTTTTATAGAACCACTGGAATTGCTATGTAGTTGTCTCAAACTTGTGTACACTTTCAAATTACTTGCTTGCCTTAGGTAAATAACAACATATTATATTTTGGGACATGAGAACCTTTGTATAAAATAAAATTACCATTCAATAAGGCTTTTGAGATATGACAAGTAGCTTACCATCAGTGCTTACACTGTTAGAAGGATTTAATTCTGGGCACACATGGAAATTAAACTGAAAGCATACGTTGTTACAATTATCTGGGTATTCTGATCATTCAATTTAGTTATTGTCCTCTCAGGTACAACAATACCAGAATCTGAGTGTGTGTGTCTGAGTGTTTAATTAACTCTCTCCTCAGGGGTCTGCTAGAAGAGCATGGGCAACCTGAGACACTCTCTGATTAATGAGAGCATTTAGGCTGCATTGGATTCCATATAATTTAGCACAATAGTCTGCCAGACAGTGAAATATCATCTCATTCTCTGTATTTACACTTATCTGATTCCTGTTCTGTCACAATCAATAGGACATGACGATCCTAAGAGTTCTGTGGGAGTCAAATTAGCGGGAGTGTGGCTACTGTTGTTGAGGCTGTTGTTAACTTTTTGTCGTTATTCTTTGTAAATTGTTGTTTTTCCCTCAGGTCAGGCAGTTTTATTTAAAGCAGAAGAAGAGGGCGGAGGTGCTAGAGCAGAGGGATCAAGAGAGACTTGCTAATTTGAGAAGCGTTATGGAAGAACAGGCAAGGCGAGATAAAGAGAGGTGAGTGTTGTGTCATGGGACCTTCAGGAAGAGTTGCCAAAAAAGAGTCCAGAACCCTGAGAATACATCATCCCTATTACCAACTATAACATAACACATACCTTTTTACTCATGGGCCTACAGCTGCTTACAATTACAGATATTTTAATGCACATTCATGTTTTCTATTGCGATAATATCACGCTCATTTTACTCTTATGATGAACAGCTATGTTACAATTATGAACACAGCACTCCACCGATTGTGTCAAAATCAATTTACAAGTCATAACAAGAGTCATCTGTAGTCTGAAAAGAAGAAAGACAGAATAACCCTGCCAATGTTATCAAGGTTATCTGAGCTTGGAGTTTGAAAGACGTAGGCAATTACAAGGTATGGAGGGTCTAATGAAAAGATGTTACCTTTTGCCAAGTATAGGATCGAGCAGTTTTGGAGGTTTACTCATACCAGGGACTAAAAGTCAGGATATCTCAGCCTTGCTGTTTAAATTCCTTCTTTCAGTCTGTCACCAAGCTTTGTAGAAGTGCAGTACTACATTGCTAGAATATCCCTTGTCTTAATATCCCTTTTCCTGAGAGACAGACTAAGGAAGAGTGACTAACAGCAACCCGTGTCAAAATCTTGGATCACTGATGCCGAAAAATATCGTATCACAATATTTTGTTTTGTGATATTGTATTGAATCTCAAAAACATTGGATCATTTTTTTGTGTTCAAACCCCAGCTAGATAGCAGTGTTGTAAACGTAAACTGAGGGTTCAGTTCAATATATTGAATAAACCGTGTATTGTGATACGTATGGTATCACCAGATTCTTGCCAATACACAGCCCTACTGATGATTAGAAATAATATATCTGAGGGTGAATTTTGCCTTTATTAACAAGCAGCACTTGCCGCCATTACAAAAACATTTTGTGCAGGGGAAATTATTATTAAATGATCAATAAGACATCTAAAATATTTCCATACCATTGGGTTTTGAGTACTCAGTGTAAACATCATATAGTTGCCATGATGCTGATACACAAATATATATATGACGATGCCTGAAAGTGTAGAGCTATGTAAGGCAAAATAAAAGAGGAAAAGTGGATATTAAGGAGTAAGCTTGTATTCGATGACTCTAGATTTCCTCAACTTTATGCCGTGAAGTAATCGCAACTTAACAGCAGCTGAAAATCTTGTCAAATGCCCTCCAGTCATTTAACTTCTCACCTTGCTACAGTAATGTCGAAGGGTACTCCACAGTGTGTCAGTACTCGCTGTTTGCGCTGAGAGGGCAGTGCTTTTTAGCTGTTTAATTACTCATTAAAAATAGAGGATTCTACTTTTCAAACCTGTTCTGTTTGGTGTGAGTTGCTCAGCATCTCTCTGCAGACTCTTGCAGAGACTGGCATTAGTAACAGATAATGGTGTTGACTCATGGGGGGGGCGCTGAGATAGAGATAAAAACAGATGATGGGAGAGGAGCTCCATAAAACCCTCCACAGCCCAGAGGCCTGCTGTGTCAGGAGTGATAGTTAATGGTGGTCGTGGCAGAGGAGGAGAGGGGCTGTTCGGGTCTGATGTCCATACCCTCTGTGCTTCCTCTAGGGTGCAGTTTCGGGCAAATATGTTACAGCTGCGAATGGAGGAGAGAGAGGCGCGGGAGCTTGAGCGGCAGAGAGAAGAAGAAGACAGACAGAATCGTCTGGAAGTTCTCAGAAACCAGGTGGATCATTATCTGCTCTTAACCTTTTCAACCACTCTGATTTTCCCCGTCAGTTGAAATGACCCTCAAGGGAAGCCTTACGCTTATCTGAGTTGAGGCATTACTGCCACCTTATGGCAGTACGTAAGAATGCAATTATATGTTATCAATATATTAAATGTTGTTTTTTGTTTTTTTTTCCTATTTATCTTTTTAGGTTGGGGTGGTGGCAGAGGCAGACCCAGAGAGAATGATGGCAGATACAGAGGCTTGGAGGAGTCGACAGTTGAATGTAGAGGAGTTTGAGCTCCAAAGGCCTCTCTACAGTATTAACACGTACACAGACTCTCAGGTGAGGCATGATAACATTTACCCTCACATAACCTTTAGCTTTGTATGATTACAAAAGCTCTGCGGCTGCATGGTCATTTGGTCAATTCCTTGTCTATGCTCTACTATTATGTGTCTGCAAAGCCCTCTTTTCCATACATATTGATCATTTTGAGCTGTCAACAATTTGTTTATTTTCATCTTGGATGAGAATGACCAGTGAGCCATGCAGTAGAGGAACATTATGCAAGCTGAATGGCTGCTCTTCGTTGCAGAGAACTTTATACACCGCCTTGAACTCAAGGCCACCCAGCCCCTCAGTGTACTTTAGAGTCTTTGTGTGTGGTTGTGTCACCCATGTAGAGAATAGGTTAGAATATGGTTATTGTGTAACACAGGCAAGGACTAACGATTGTCAAACTGTGCAAATCTTCTACAATAAAAAACTGCGAAGGATTAGTGATTAATCTTGTTTCAAGTATAGAATTTGGGGCAAACCATATAAATAAACAATGGTAACATAGTGTGTGATCTTGTCTGAAACAGCTGGAAATGTATTATTTATTCTGGGTTTTTTTCTTTCCAGATTGTGTCTGATCCAAGAGTGCGGGTGGAGCAGGCCCTGCGGGAGGCTGGTCTGCACCACACTCATTATGCCAAAGAGGTCCTCTCTGTTATCAAGCCCCCTAAACCCCCAAGACGAGATACAAAATCTATACTCAAATTCTGACCAGGGGCTGGTTTGGGATCAGGCCATCCCTTGTTCTGGTGTTGAGCATTATATTAAATGTAAATAATACATTTTACTTTGCATGCGTAAGAATCACATTCACAGTTGGACAGATCATGTTGTTTGGGATGAAAGCTGCTGTACTCACAAAGCAAACTGATAAACAGTAAGTAGTGACCACCAAGTGACACAGTGCAATTGTTTTTTACTTTTATTATAGGTTTTACACTCTACAACAACTCACAGTGTCATACAGTATAAAAAACATGTACCTCCAAAAATGCCTGCTTATGTTACTTTCAAAAGGTTTGGATTAGCATGAACACACTGTATGACACTCCTAAATGTAATGTTCCTAGTTATTTAGTAACCAGTGAAATACAGTCTAAGGTCCAATTCATCTTCTTGTATCACAAGAGAAATCAGTAACGAATAATTACAGTATTATAGTGTTTTTGTTTCAATCATTCAAATGTGAAGTGGGTTTCTTGATGCTACAAACACCCCCTTAGATTTAGGAACTGTCTCTATAACTGTTATATATTTTTGTGAGTCATATCTGTGTTAATAGGTTGCAGACTTGGATCACCACCAAAATACTGTAATCAATTGTTAATTTTTCAAAGATCCACCTTCACATTTTTTGACAAACAAACTACCAGATGTTGACTTTCTTGGCAAAGTTACACGTGTAAATAGAATATTAAAATGAACATACAGAACAAATTTTTTAGAGAATTAATGTTACTTTACATAAGTACCAGAGTATTAAATATTAAAGGCTACAACACATACTTACATATATATATATATAGATGCAATGTACTTATATTAGCTTCATCAAAGAAATCATACAAATCTTAACTTTTTAAATAAGTGTTGTATGCACATATTAACATGGTAAGTACAGTATATACAGTATACATATCCACATATCAGTCAAAACTATTTACACTCTATTTGAGAGGCTGGGGTTGGGATGGGAAGTGCAGGGGTCTCAGACAATTTGTCCCAGGCGTTTCTTGATAAAGTGGGACACCAGGACTTGAGGTCTCTGCTGGTACTCCACCAGAACATCATGAGAGGAGGTGATCTGGTCTCCCTCAAAGCGGTTCAGCAATGCAACACAGATCACAGCCGCTGGAGACAAAAAGGAGATTATTAGTCATATATGCTAATGTAGGTTGGACGTCATTGGGTCAAATCATAATCATCATCATCTATCTATTCTGTACAACGTATGTCTTTATTGACCAATATTGACGTAGGCTAATTAAAGGATATAGAAGTTCTACTTGTAAGATTGTACTTTTTGTAAAAAACAATACCTTTGAGGCCACAGACGCGGCACATAGCGGCAAATACGGTGGACTCCATTTCAATATTCCTCACTCCAGCCTCGTATGCCTTCCTCAGATACTCCACTTTTTCTTCATGAGAGAAGGAGCAGAGAGCTCCGTCAAGTCGGCCTTGACCTAGAGAGACACAGCACAGGATTTGTCACTGCCTGATCAATGGTTTTGACCTGTTTGAAGATCTCACCTACAGCATATGCCTCAGCGGGATTACAAATGATTTTACAAACAACGTTAGGTGTGAGATTATGTTGATACCTTCATAGAAGTCATGGGTGCACATGGTGTTTCCGATCACGGTGGGAATGTTCTGAAGCTCGGAGGAGCACTGCAGAAGCTCATTGGCCACTCCCTCGTCCAGCTCAGTGCTCCTGGTGATGACTTTACCCAGAACCACCTGCTCAAACTGGGGGCAGAAGGAGTAGTCCACAGCCTTATTCGTGATCACCACTGTCCCCGGAGCCAGACCTAGAGACGACACCAGGCAGAAATGTAAATCTATTCATGACCTGTTAGCCAGGATAGACCAGTGATTGAGGGAAAACAAGACTAAACAATGGTTCTTACCAACTCCACCAGATGTTCCAAGACGAAACAGGACCACATCACGGCACTGAGCATGGTGCAGCAGTTTTATGAGCTCGTGCAGCATGATGGAAATGGAAGGGACGCCCATTCCATGCTGTGATGGAAACAATTCAAAATAATAATAAATTATTAAACAAGTAATGCAGCATTTGAAGCCTACTAGGACAGAATAGGTCATTGTTGTGTAAAATTAACTGCTGATGTAAAACTTACACTTATAGAGAGCACTGGTCCCACTTTATACATGCTGTAGCGATCAGTTCCCTCACAGATATCTCTGATTTCCTCTGGGTTTCCAGGCAGTTCCAGCTCCTGGTGGATGAACTGTGCAAAAGCCTTCATTCGATTCCCGCTGCCACCAACACACACAAACTATGGGAAACAGAGGAAGAAGATCAGTGAATTCGGTTTCTACCTTTTGAGATTCTAAACCCCAAATTATAATTTATTTTTATTAGCATTTCACCAACCTTAATATCTCCGAACATTTCTGGAAGGTTGTGAGTCTTGGTGCTCAAGCTGAAGTGGTAGAGAATATCCTCCTCCATGGTGTCCAAGTAGGGATTTTTCACTTGGACATGTTGTCTGAGAGCAATAGAGTACAGCACATTAATAAATGGGCAGATAGTTCAAGTGAATCATAAGAAGTAAATAAAATAATTTAAACCTTAGCTGAGGTTCCCAGATACTTACTTGATATACTCATTGTGGTCATTCCCCATACAGTTGAGTAAAATTGGTGCCATGCTTGCAGGAGACGCTGTGAAATTCAGTCTAAAATAAAGTAAAGTTGCTCTGCTGTAAAACTTCCAAATACTCGTTGCAGCTGTTTTTGAATAAGAGTTGTGTCTGGCTGCAGAGCTGATATAGTGTTGACCTCTGACCTTGCCACTGATTGGTTCCAGAGAGAGGAGTAGCACTTGTCCTCACTCTCACAAAAAACATCCACCAGCAGCCAAACAAACAGAGCGAGATCAATCACAAGAAAATGATTATTGGTCCACTTCTGAAGCATCAGTGTAGCTTCAAGCCTTCTTTGTGACGTAAGCTCTTGTTATGACTGAACCTCACAGACCCCATGAACTGTGATGTGTGTGAATAACTGCTGTGTTATAACATACAGCTTCACCAAAGGACACAGAGATAACCTTTGACATTGACATGCAACACTCTGGATTGTCAAAACAATGACACACGCAGAGAGAACTTAATGTACAACCAACAGAAATGCTGCTGGCTCAATCAAAAATCAACTACATTATATTATGCATTGTGTCATTTGCTTTAAGAGCAGCATTAGGTTTCTGATTTGTCCCAGAAAATGGGCCATTATTTGCTGTAATGTGTCAGTATTACGTGGCAGATTATTCAAATCTCAGCCTGTGAGAACAAGTATATATATACATTTGTTATGTAAGGCCAAAGTAAAAACAACTGTGAAACATTTTGAATAAATTTTTATTTTATTTGAATAATTAAACTCTTATTCTTTAAAGCTGCCTTTAACAGAGTTACAGACACTGCAAAAAACTTAACACGAGGCTTACGGGTGCCTTCTTTACTTAAGGAATACAGGTAATGAGGCACCACTAACAGGCAAAATAAATAAAAAGGTCCTAGCTTTAATTCAGTTAAGCACTTTCACGCTTGAGTAATACATCTGACGTGACAAAACAATAGAAACTAGGTTAAACATTTGATGTGGCTCAGCATGAAAGGGTAAAAAAAGTGTTGTTAGAGGAGAGGATGGCAACTATTCCTGTTGGAAGCATTTAACTTTGGGCATCCTTTTCCACTGGCAGTCTTCTAGTCTGTTGGGACAGAAAAGTATACAAGCATGAGTCATTCGCCAAAACATTATCACATAATTCAGTAATAATCTACATTTCACTGCCGAGCGGCATTATGAATTCTTAATGGCTGAAATCATTTCAAATGTTGTGACCCTCGTTTCATTATGTGCCATATCCACTTATTGAGTCACATAAAATCAATACACAAGCTAAACAGCTTGGCTCCATTTGGTTTTATTATAACCGAGGCGGATTTTGATAGCATGATGAAAAAGCAAGAAAGGGAATGATTTATGGTGAGCTGGAAGACAGTAAATCAACCTGTCAGAAACTCGGTGCTACTTACTTGACAAATCGTGGTTGGCTATTGGTTTGTCGTCTTCTGCATAACCAAAGCTCAACAGCTTAGACATGTCGACAGGAGCTGGTTTCTTGTCGTACACTCTGTGAGAACACCAAAGACACGAGGTCAGATGTGATGGGAAGGCTTTTTTTGAATGGAAATCAAAGCAGATGATGATTTAATTACAGATATAATGTAATGATTTGTCATTAGTTGGACCAGAGAGCCTACAGCTGACGCAGGTTAAACATTAAATATGGACCCGACCCTTCCAACATTTTAGAACAAGACAAACATTAGCAGAAGTACTTTTCCAACTAAGTCAACAGCTGTTATTTACAATTGACAGTTTCCTCTAAATCTTAACAAACCAAACCACCAACTCTGCAAAACTATTTATTAAAACAAGTTATTGAATTTTTTCAGATTTAGCCTCATTATCTTGAAATAAAGCAACAAAAAAAAGATCTGAATTAATTATTTTCACTCAGTCAGTCACATGTTTCAGTGTGAATATCCTGCACCGAGACTGTACAGCTGATCGTCGCACTGCATGAATGAAAATCACTGCTTTCTGCTTGTTTTAACTATTATAACTGTAGGACTTAAATAACATTTGCAGAAGAGCCTTTGTTGACATACAGCCTCGGTATCATCCAGACAGTCTCTGTAGCATTGTATGTGAAGTTTTTCTGGGGGTTTGTGAAGTCATTGACATTTCCCAAAAGGTACAGGACACACACAGACCAGCTGTGAGCCAAAGCAAACAGGTGAACGTCCAGATTTGTCTAAAAGCCATTGATCTGCGTGCTATTTCGTTGGACCTATGTGTGCAGTGGGACCTGTGAACAATTCTGCTTAGTCACCGCCACAACATGGAGACATATAGTCTACAATGTATTTATTAATAAACACACATTTTGAAATGTTTCTCAGACATCTTCTGGAAATACGCCGATGGACCAGGCAAACCCTGAAGATCACGACTTTTGGAAACAACACTTGAAGGATAGGTTCACAATTTTTCAGGTCTCCCTTAAAACAACAGTCACGTGCCGGTTTAACAGTCTGGTTAATCAAATCCAGTGGTTCTCTCAAGGTTACAGTCTTTTTAGTACAGAATGTAGTACTGTAGTGTTTTCCCAGACAGTGTTTCCCTGTTGATTTTGCCTCCATCTCTAACATTAAAAGCACAAAGGAAAGGGATCTTTGAATGCCCAGTACGAACAGGGAGAACAATTCCTCGTATTTATTACCCAAGTACATGCTTTTAACATTTGTGTCCATAGTAAATTAAATTATACGTAGACAACTACTGATTAGATTAGGAGGAGCTCAGTGTGGAGGGACTTGGTTTGGGATTATTAAAGTATATCTTCTTCTTCTTCTAACGGCTTTGTACTTAAGACCAATAACCATGTACTCATTTTACTCAGTTACTTCCACTCTAAATTACTGATGTGGTCTGACATAATAAGATCCTTGGTCTATAATAAATCTACTCTATTTTACCATTGTGTTTCTGAGAGTTATAAGAAGTGGCAGCTGCTCCTACTGAATATAATACAGAACAACAGCACCATCTTGTGACCGCATGAACTTACATTCTCTTGAATTTGCTGGTCTGGTAATATTGAGTGGGTGACTGCAATTTCTCCAACTGGCTGTCATGAACATTGTTGTCCTGCAGAACACAAAGCAAAGCCACAGTGTGTGGTGGTGGTTTTGTGAATGTAAATAAAGCCAGGATATATAATATAGCCTGCTCAAGTAAACTAAATGAATTAGTAACACTACAACATCACTAACAATCCTTGTCTTAAAATACAGGATCATAACAGAATACCATCATCAATCATTTGTTACTGTGGTGGCTGAATTACTCTGGTATTTCTCTGTTTACCTTCTCTTTGCCATTGCTGCTGCTATCATCCCTCTCCCAGGCCGACATGTTGTCATTCCCAAAGGGAGGCTCTAGCTGTTGAAAAGCTCCAGGGTTTTTATTCTCGTCAGTGTTAATTAGGCTGTTGGAAAAAAAATACAAAATAGGGATGTGAACGTATCCTTCATTTAATGACAGCTGGAACGGATAATTAAGATTAAACAGTAAAAAATAGACATTATGGTGGCTTATTGTTGCAGTTCATACTGTTCCTTCTACTTTACAGCACTTTAAAAGTTTGTTACAAGTGCTGTAACAGTTATACTGTGAGTGTGGGAGCATTATTACAGTATAGTACTGACATTAGTAGTGTATTAACAGCAAGTAGTAGTGTTAATACTGGAGGTGGAAGTATTTTAAACCATAAACTGACAACAAGTCATAAAGTCTGCATGATAATAATGTTACCTTGGTTCGCTGTTGTCACCTGACTCAGTGCAGAACCAGTCTGGAGGTTGGTATGAGTTAGTGTTGGAAGTAATTGTGTTCTCGTGCCACAAAAGTCCTGATGAACAAGGAAGAAAAGAAAACAGCATACAAATAAATGTAGGCAAAAATCAACCAGCGAGAGGGATGTGTGTAGATATAAGGCAGCAGGGTGTTTATACCCCTATGTCCTCCTTGTTTTGCAAGTTTGACATAGTCAGAATCACTGTCCAGGACTCCGACCCTGCGACCCCGGGCCCTCTCATCAGGGACAGGGTTCATAGCTTGGGACAGTCCTGGGATCTGGGAGATCTGGCCATTTATTCCTTGGACCCCTGTTTTCACACACGTAAAGTTAAAACACACACACACACACACACACACACAGTGAAGAAAAGACGAGACGAGTCTCCTAATACACACACTGCAGCGTGAAGAAACTAAACTAAAGTCACTAAACACTTGTACTTGCCAGATTTTGTCGACTGAAGATCGTCACTGGTGAGAACTGGGGAATCTCTAGCGGAAATGGAAACAAAAACCCAGTTTCACTTGTCAGCCTCTTCGACGACAGTTTGTATGAGCGCGCTTTTGTCATTAGCATCAAGAGGCTAACGCTACATTAACGTTAGCGTTGGTTAGCGCTAATGCTATCCGACTGCGGTTCATTTTATCCAAACACGGCACCAGTTGGACGGGGGGGAAAAAACAAGAGGGGGAAAGTTAAAAAAAAAAAAAACACAGCACATATACACAGATGTTCGTATTTGAATGAAGAAGTTTTTTTCTTTTACTTACTCTGAATACATTCTCGGAGCAGAGCAACAAACTGCTGTGTGTGTGTGTGTGTGTGTGTGTTTGAGTACTGACTCTGTTTGGAAGTAGTGGCCGCCGCGTTGCCATGGAAACGGTTGGCTTGAGTCCAACTGCCGCTCCAGAATGTGAGGAGTTAACGGTCGATACGGGACGGTTAGGGGTTCTTCTCCAGTCGACGCCATTGTTCGTTAGTTAACGTTGGTTAGTTAACGTTGGTTAGTTAACGTTAGTAAGTT